TAGGGGGCTGAGCCACTCTCCCTGCCCTGCAGAGGGACGAGGCCTGGCCCCAAAGCAGCCACACACCCGGCCCTGGGGTGAGTGGCCGAAATGGGGGACCGGTCCTGCCCCACTGTGATCCCCTTACTCCAAGGGGGGCCCTGTGATTTGGGAGGGGTCTCCCTGCCTTGCCCAAAGGGACAAGTTTCCATCCCCAAATCACCGTCCCAAGCTTTGCAATATCATGACTTGTTGAGACTGGCAAGCCCGGCCGTGGTGGGACGGGTCACGTCCCAATGTACTCGCGTTACGTTGCAGGGTGTCGTGATTTTAACGGGATGGGCAGTTCCCCCTGTTTTTCCAAAAGGGAACAGTCCCCTTCCCCCAAATCGCTGTCACAAGCTAAGCAACGTCGTGACGTGTTGTGTCCTGTCATGATCATATTATGTCACAGGGTGTGTGACGCTCTTATGTTCCCAGCTTGTCATGATTATAATGGGGGCAATTAGCTCTCCATACCCTGCCAAAAGGGATAAGCGCCTTCTCAAAAAATCAATATTCCCTTTAATCTTTTCCATCCATGAGCAGGTTTTTTCCATTCATGTGCAGAATACATTTTGTTATGTGCACTGAGGCAGGAGTGGCCCGAGGCCGGCTGTGGCAGCTGGTGCCCTAGGCAGAGGCGCAATCGGTGCCCCCACCTGCACGGCCGTCAATGCCCGTGACATCATTATTGGGCGCCTGGGCCAGCGGCGTCCTAGGCAACTGCCTAGTTTGCCTAGGCTCGCAGGCCGTCCCTGCACTGAGGCATGTGCAAATGTGCACCATGAGGAGAAACGCAAACCTAGCTGTGAGTGCTCTGAGCAACTGCACAAGTGCACAATTTACAGGGAGCACTGCCTTAAATCATGCTCACAGGGTGCAGCTGTGAAACCGCATTGTGCCATGAGGATGGTATGTCAGGTTGTGGCATGACAATGTCATGCGAGGGTGCAGGATTGTTCCACCACACTGACAATATTTGCACTGCCTATTACATCACACCCTGTCACGGTGATATATTGTTGTATACTGACAGTTTGCCTCAATCTCGTTAGATACTTGCAATACCATAGTGGCATTATGGCATTTTGACATAGCATGATGGTTACAATTGTATAGTTAGAGCCCTATACAGATGCAAAATTGGTATTCGCATCTGCAAAAATGATCTTCGGATATCCACAGATGAAGATACCTGTGGATATAAAGCAGATATTCACAAATTTGCAGGGTTCACAATACAAAATGTGTATCTGTGTCTGTATCTACAAAATGAACCACAGATATCTGCCTCTATATCTGTAGATGCAGAGATCACTGAATATAAAGCAGATATCTGTGGATTTACAGGGCTATATGTACAATATCATAATACGCATGACACTGTTGTGATATGCTGTAATATTTTTGATTCAGTGTTGCGTATCAAGAGGGCATTTTTGATATAGTGTGATATGATGCAAAATAGCTATTCTGCAGTATGATGAAACTTTTGATGCACTGTCCATTTATTTGTGTTTGTAAAAAATTCTCCCAATAGATTATGCATAAGTCAAAAAACATTAGTACAAAAACATACAATCACAATAAATTTTGACCCAATTGAATCACAGTTATGTTTCCACATTTCAAGAGAAATTAGATTTAATTAAACTTAATTCTTGACAACATGATGTTTAATCAAATGTATTCATATCACCTCTCAATACAATGACATTTTGATACATTGTCATGTTCTGTTGTATGGTATGGTATTGTAATGCTTTGCTGTCCTGTTTTGACACTTATCTGATGATCTTCCCATGTAACATGATGTTTATAACTCAAGGCTAGGTTGTAGCTTCTGTCTCATTTGCCTTAGTTAATACTTCATAGAAAATTGAAAAATAGTCTATTTACAACTAATTTCTGTGGCTTTTGTTGTTTTTTAATTTTTGAGGACAATAGCATCTCCCCCATTTAATGTCGCAGGAAAACAAGTTCTTTGTTAAGATTTGTAATACTTTGCTCCCTCTGTCAAGTATTCTGGGGTACTCAGATGAAGCTCAAAACATTATTACTGATTATTTCATTTGCTTTTGTTGCTCATCTGAAGGTTAAAATTAAAATGTATTTATGGCATCATAATTCACTCAGTAGGGATTGATGTCACAAATAGTGAGGTTTATAGGATGATTTCTCCAGTGATTTAAAAATTTCAGAGGAGTAGCCGTTTTAGTCTGTAAGGCTACGTCTACACCGCAGAGTTTTTGCACAAAAACTCGTGGAGCATCCACACCTCAAGTGTGTTTTTGCGCAAGAAAATTTACAGTGAATTGACAGAACAGAAGGGTTTTTGCGGTATAGGTAGCCCTCTTTCTACGTGGAATAACTCCTTTTTGCACAAGAGTTATTGTGCAAAAAGGTGTGTGTGGACGGGCAGTAGGTTTTTTTTGCGCAAAAACAGACTATTGAAAGAAGCATGGGTGCCCTGGTGGCCATTCTGTTAATGGCAATCAGAGCTTTCTTGTGAGAGAGCGTCCATGCAATGTGGACGCGCTTTTCCAATGTGCTTTTGCAGTGTGGACGTGCTCTTGCGCAAGAAGTTTTTGCAGAAGATCTCTTCCGCAAAGAGCTTCTTGTGCAAGAAGTCTGGAGTGTAGATGTAACCCCAGTGAATAAACTTAAAAAACAACAAATAATCTTACAGCACCTTGGAGATTAACAAAAAATGTAGATGGTATCGTGAGCTTTCGTGGGCACAATCCATTTTTTCAGATGAATGGAGTTAAAGAGTTGAGGGGAGAAATAAATAACAGAGAAAGAGCTATGATGTGAGATCAACCCTGTGAGTTTAAAGTGGAGTAAAAGCTACAGATATTTTTGAGCAGTTGAATAATCTCTTTCTTGCAAATGTTCTTAATAACAGAGAGAATGCAAGAAAGAAGAAAATATAGTCCATGGCAACAGAATGGTTTCTAAGTAGAATGTTTTTTTAAAGCTTTCCATGAAGTGTCAGTGACTCTAAACCTTCTGTACAAACATAATCATTTTTGTGCATTATTCCCTTCCCTGCAATGGTTTAAAAATAGGTAATGCTAATTTTTTTATGATAAAGTGCTGATGCTGTTTTTAATCCTTATCCATGTTATTCTTGTGCTTATGGTGTATGTTAGGTCTCTCTGAAATAATTTATTGTTGCTGCTGAGTTAGGACCTGATCCAATGCTCATTAAAACTAATGGAAAGTCTCCCATTAATAGTTTTAGATCAGACAAGGAATATAAGATATCGTGTAATTGAATAGTCAAGTAATTGCATGAATTTTTAGCAGTTACTCGACTATTTTGTAGACCCCGGGGGCAGGGCCAGCAGCCAATGCACTCTGGCCCCACTCCTGCGAAGCGCCCTGTAATCCTCTGCTGCTGCCTTTGTATCAAAGGCAGCAGTGTGGGGTGCCAGACAGGACCTGGTCCATGAGGGGAGCCAGTTTAAAAAACAGCTCCCCGTGCAGACCAGTTGCCTGCCACCCCATGCCGCTGCCTCTGATACAGAGGCTGCAGTGCAGAGTGGCAGCAGCCCCTGTCCGTGGTGGGGGGACAGCCAAGCTCCCTGCTGACAGAGGATGCTATGGATGGGGGAGGAAGCAGGGGAGGCTGCCATAAAGCAGCCTCTGTCCATGGCAGCCCAGGCTGGCTGCGGAGAGAGGCTGATCCAGCAACAGTCCCCGTTTGCGTGGGGTCCAAGCTCCCTGTGGATAGAGGCTGCTCCACATCCTAGGGAGCAGCCTTTGTCTGTGGTGAGCCTGAGCCCACCATGGACAAAGGTTGCTCCAGCAGCAGCCTCTGTCCACGAGGGGTCCAATCTCCCCACAGACAGAGGCCAGCTCGGGCCTGCTGTGGACAGAGGCTGCTTTACGGCAGCCTCCCCTGCCGCCCCACCCCGTGCTGCTGCCTTTCACAGAGGCAGCAGTGTGGAGCGGGGCAGGCGGCACCACTATACAGAGGCAGTAAGGGGAGGGGAAAATGCGTATGGATGACAAGATTAACTGATAAGCCTAGGCTTATCAGTTAACCCTATATTTGACTACATATTGACATCCCTAGATCAGACCCTCCTCCTACTTATCCTTCATTGACATAGTCTCCCATCTGGAAAACTAAATTTGTCTTTTCACAGGGTGTGAATTTTTCCCAGCATCTTTTGGTTTGGGAAGATGAGAAGATGGGGTATTGTGAGTGCTTGGGTTGAACTCCATATAGCTTCCACATGGCAGAGTTGGGCTCTTTCTAGTCCACTGTGAAATCCATAAAAGGACTGAGGCACTGAAATGCTGAGTGTTGTGCTGCCTAACTTTTAGACACTTAGAAAATCTCAGGAACAACACTGTGATCCACAAGGCTGAGTTAGGCTCCTAGGTTTCTTATGCAATGAATGAGGAGATGGGTGCTGAAGAGTAAAATCCACAAAAACCAGCCTGCTAGGCAGCTCTGTGCCTAACCCAGACAGTGGGAGATGCTGATGTGCTAAGCCCTGTGCCTTTCTCAGAGGTAGGCACCTAGCTCTGCTAGTGATGCACAAATGAGAGGAAGAAGAGGTTTTGCAGCTGCCCACTTTATAACTTTCAGGATGTGGGCGATTCAAGTTCAATTATCCTGTCCCTGTCAGAGAGAGAGGAAGATTCTACCACTTCTTAGAAGAGTGCTCTAACCGCTGAACTATGGGTTTCTCTGATATGGCGCTCTCTGTCTGTCTGTCTGTCTCTCTCTCTCTCTCTCTCAAGTGATTGGAGGAGGGAGATTGGACCCAGGTTTGCTATGTCCCCCATGCTATGCCTCAACCACTGGACTTCAAAGTATTTCCCAATCTCTCTGTCTTTCTCTGGCCCAATCACCCTCTATTTATCTAAGGCGATGTCTACACTGGAAAGACTTGGTAACAAAAGCGCTGTCAACATTCCAAAGTTGCCACAACTGAAAACTCATCAAACCCCCTCTCTCAGCTGCATTAGAGCAATTTACCGCCTTATGCTGTCACACCGTCCCCTCTTCAGATGCACTAATAACTTACCACCCCTCATGGCTGCTGCCTGCACCATCCCTCCTACAGCCTGCACAGCAACTTATCCTGTGTCTCTTCCCTTGCTTCATGACCCTGCATCTCTTCCCTTCCTTCATGCTCCACATAGAGTAGCTGAGAGTTGTCAAAAAATATTGGGACATAAGAAAAATTCCATATTGCCTGGCACACTGGTTGTCACCGGATTGAGCCTAACCTCCTTGTCCACTACCATCTTTTCATCAGTATCTTCTGTGTCTCGGTCAACTCCTGTTTCTGACTCTGTGCTATGGGAATTATCCACATTCTCCTTGGGTGTTCCCTGTGCTATGGGAAGTATCCACAATCCTCCTCTCCCCATTCAGGATTGTGTCCAGTTCTTTATAAAAATGGCATGTTATAGGTGCAGCATCAGACTAGCTGTTTGCCTCCTTTGCCTTCTGGTATGCCTGCCGGAATTCCTTTATCTTGACTTTGTATTGTAGGATGTCTTGCTCATATCCCCTTTTCACACAGGTCTTGAGAAATGTGACTGTACATGTCCCAGTTCCTATGGGCCACTTGCAGCTGTGACTGCATCCATTCTTTACCCCACACACTGATAAGATCCAAAAGTTCTGTGGTGCTTCAAAAGCAGGATAACATTTTGAGCGATAGCCACCCCTGTTTCCCTGAGAAGATGCCATGAGGACCACTACACAAGCAGCCAGACGCCAGAAAATTAACTTTAAAGTTCCTGGGTTTTGCAGGTAAAAAGGCAAGGGTGGGCAAACTCCAGCCTGTGGGCTGGATCCGCAGGGTTAGTCCCTGATGGGCTCTCACCTCCATGTTTACCTGGGCCTTCCCAGGTATTGGAGGATTTATTGCCCACCCCTATGAAAGGGGCACATCTGTTTACTTCTTTATGTGGCTGCAGAGCAGCAGAATTCAAAGCGCTGGTCAGAATGGCTAATCAGGCATCATGGGAAATATTCTGGAGGTCAATAAACTCAACAAGAAGCCTACTGTAGTAGTCACTACATGATTATACAGTACAATAAAAGGAAAGGGAAAGACAAAAGTCCGGTGCAGACGTAGAGTTTTTGTCACCAAAACTGGGTGTTTGTCGCGAGTTTCATCATATCACAATGTGAATGCTCTCCAGGTTTTGTCAGCAAAAAGGATTTTTTGGTGACAAAACTTGCCTGTGTAGACAAGGCCTAAGGCTTTGTCTACACTTAAAAGTTTAAAGTGCAGCCATGGCAGATCTTTAAACTGAAATGTGGCCATGGCATGAATGCTGGGAGAGAGCTGTAGCCTGGCTCACACTGGCGCTTTACAGTGCTGTAACTTGCTGCATTCGGGGAGGAGAGAGGTGTGTTCACCCCTCCCTCCCGAGCCAGTATTGTAAAATGCCAATGTAGACTTAGCCAAAGTGGTAGAGCTTCAACAAGAAAGTATATTAGAATAGCCTGTAGCTCCATGGCTAGAGCACTTTCCTGAGAAGTGACAGATTCTTGTTCAAATTCTTTCACCTTCTCTGGCAGGGAAGGGAGCATTGAATCTGAGTCTCCTACATTCCAGGTGAATGCTCTAACCACTGGGCTAAAAGTTACAAGGTGGGCACCATGACCGCCCCTTCTTCTTCCTTGAATGTACAGTGAGGGACCAGTGGGCATGCCCAGAGGCAAAAGCTTTGGTGCCAAGTGAATTTGAGAGCCTACAGAGTTTAGAGGTTTGTGGATTGCTGGGGGAGATGTAGGCATCTGAATTCAGGTGGATTCTACCCATTCTTTCTGGCTGATGATTGTATGGACCCAGAGGCTGCATGACCAGCTGAAGGAACAACCAGTGAGAGTGTCATTCCCCCAGCCATGTTTCCCAGCGCAAAGCCTGTTTAATAAGGCCTTGTCTGCACACAAACCTCTGTCACTTTAACAAAAGGTATGCTTTTAACCAATTTAATTAAACCACCATAAAACCCTGCTTAGGTACTCTTATTTGGGTTTAGCAGTGGCTATTGTTTTAGTTCAAATTAATTCCTTATATCTATCGGGTACCTAGTCTCTTCCTGCAAAAGGGAAAATAGACCATCCTCTTCTTCCCCTAAGTATTGATTTAAGTCCCAGTCCTGCAAAAGACTTAGGCACATACAGTTGAAGTCAATGGGGCTACTTATGTGCATAAGTGAATGAATAAAGTCTTAATAATGTACCATCTGGTAATAAGTCTAAGTGAATGCCACAAGGTATTTGAGGGTTGGGTAAATTTAATCAACATTGGGGAAGTATTTTCTGGTAACAATGAGAGAACTACATTGGAAACAAAGACTATGAGCCTAATCTGTTCTGGTAAAGTGTTGCCAAGGTGGAAGGATTACTTGTGTTGTTATACCAGGATCAGTAGGAAAGGACTGGAATATTTATGTGGATCCAGGAAAATTGAAGTGTTCAGACAGTTTGCTAACCACATGCCAAAACCTGTTACAGCTGCTTTAGGTCTGTGAATAAATATGTCTCACACAGCAAATTCTGTATGATCATTATTAAAATGTCACACACGTAGTATCTGTGTGACTAAACAGATCATATTGAGTACCTACAGTGTCTCAGCTATTGTAGTTCCATGACTAAGTACAGGCAGTCCCCGAGTTACGTGGATCCGACTTATGTCGGATCCGCAGTTACGAATGGGGCCCTCTCCCTGGTCTCCAGCAGACCAGGGAGAGGAAGCAAAGCGGCGGAACACTGTGTACCTACAGACCAGGGGGACGGGGAGCAAAGCAGAGCAAAGCCGCGGAGCCCGAGGGCAGCAGGACAGCCACGGCGCGTCTGGGCTGTCCCGCTGCCCCCGTGCTCCGCAGCTTTGCTCCGGACGCCTGTGGTACAGCAGCTGGGGCACTGCCGGTTGGTCCCGTAGCGCCGCTCTGGGCGCTATTGGACCAACCGGGCAGCACCCCAGCTGTTGTGCCCCAGGCGTCCTGATTCAGCCACTGCTGGTCAGAGTCA